AAATTCTCTTTCAACAACGAAATATATCGCCAAAAGGATGGTTTGGCTATGGGCTTACCATTAGGCCCATTGCTTGTAGATTTCTTCATGGCAAAACTCGAAAACACATGCCTGAAGAAAATGATCCATACTTTCGAAATCTATGAGCGATACGTCGACGACACTTTCATTATCGTCAACACCGAAGAAAATCTAGATGACATCTTGAAGTCGTTAAACAACTGCCACCCCGCGATTCAGTTCACGCTGGAGAAACAGTCCAACTCCAAAATATCCTTTCTTGACGTCTAACTAACAAGACGAGAACAGGATGGAACACTGAAAAGGTATATGCACAGAAAGTCGACATGGAACGGACAGCTTACTAACGTTCACAGTTGGGTACCCCTATACACCAAACGAAACCTGATCCGTTCACTCAGCTACAGAGTTCGCAGAATTTGCACGCCGGACACCATAGAAGATGAACTGGACAACCTCAAGAGAATCTTCGTCGAGAATTGTTATTCAGAAAGATTTATTGCAAAATCTATGAATCCTAGACCACAAAAGCCGCCCATGCATAGTGTCGTGAAAAACCTAATCTACATGAACCTTCAATTCAATGGAGATATATCTGCGAAAGCACTAAAAAATCGACTGTCACGCTCACTTAAGAAGACCTTCTTTGCAGCTGAACTACGCCTAACCTTCTCCACAAAACCCATGATTCATGTGAACGTGAAGGATAAGCTACCGCAGCTGGCCCCATAACTGTGTATTTATCCATTCACCTGCTCGTGTGGAGCCAGGTATGTTGGCCGTACCCAGCGCTCGCTTTCCAAACGTATCACCGAACACTTACCAACATGGTTTTACAAAGGAGAAAATCGACGCCCCCGCAGTTCCATCTGAGAACATCTGATAGAATCCGGACACCAAGCTACACCCCAAACAAACTTCAAAGTCGTCTACAGAGTAAGTAGTAGCCTTCCTAAAGGTGTACGAATCAGACTTCTTCAAACTGCAGAAGCGATGGCGATTCACTCGCTCACTCCTGAACTCTGCATACAGAAGAAGTTCGTTCAGTCACTACACTTGCAATGGACGTAATCTATCTTATTACCCGACAAGTAAATTCTACCTAGTCTCTTTTTCTTTTTTTCCGTCTCTTCATTAGTATTATTTTGTCTTCTCAATTGTAATATTTTACATTTTCAACTTTCTTGTTCTCTACACCCACCCGATTTAATTTCTACACCTCACTACCATTGTCACTGACTTGAACAACGCTCAATTTCTACTCATTTAGATTACGTCATCCAACTTATTTGCTCAATTTCAGTTCTAATTCAAATGGCATTATTCTCTACCCCACTTCTACCTCTGTTGCTACCCTGACCTAAGTTAAAACATTTTAGGCACTTATATTAAGTCATCTAACTTACGAACTCAATCTTACTTTATTTGCAGTCTGATTAACCTTGTTTCTATATTAGATCAATCTTGTATTACCTGATCAATTATCTAAACTTGACAAACCTCATGTACACACAAACACACAAATAATTATATATAAATGCGATTGCACAACAATAAGAATGAATTCGCCAAAAAGAGTCTCTTCGCTGAACGTCTTCTCTTTTTCGTATGACACAAAGCGAATTTTCAAGCTTAAGTATTCCTGTTTTCTCTCTACCCACAGTGCACTTCAGTCCCTTTAAGATATGCCATTTTTTTCAGAAAGCGTCCGGATACTCTTAGTCTTATAGACTATTCCTGTTCTCCCCACCCACAAATAAAACTGCTAAATGTATGATGCCTGCATATTTTATTAAAAGGAACAACTTAAACTGACGAAAACCTTCGAAAGACCTAATTTAATACAATGGTGTCATGTAATCTGCAGTCATGAATTGTTCTCATTTCTCAGGTTGAGTAAAGCAAATGTGTACTCGATGAAAACAGCGATGTATAAGGAATCTGTCTTCAGAATATCAAGAAAAATACTGTGATAACGAACTATCAGGATACTGTGACACCTGTAATTGAATAGATGGATTTCAGGACAACACAAGGGGATGTCCTATCCTAACAGTTTGATAATAATTTTTTCATTCCTTTACTTTCTCAGTGGAACATAGGGCTTCAAGCTTGAGCTATTAAGTTTCGGTAGCTGCGGTGTTCATTATGACGGAGTGGGGTTGCTAGCCTCACGCCCAACCTTCTACCTTTACCAGTTTTATTAATGGTTTATCAAGGTAAAGTAGTGTGTCAGCCGGGGATTGAACCGCGAACAACACGAGTGGTTGGCGAGCATTCTACTGCTGTGCCACTGACGTGCCAATAATAATAATAGTAAAGCTCTATTTCAGGTAATATGTGAACATATATAGGAGAAATTTTCCGCGTATTTAGTTCCAAAATATTTCCCCTTCATACATAAATTACGGATAAAGCCATATTCTGCAGTACATTACTTGTCACAGTGTCGCTGTATATGGGGAGAGAACCAATTATGCGCATTTTGTCTTCAGTTCCTTCGAAAAATGCATTGAGTATAAAGGGAAACTAATTAAATATATCCGCGAGTTCATATATTGGTAATTTGATATAATTACACGATCAAAACAATAAGTGCAGAAGAATTCAGGCATTTTGATGGATAAACATTCTGATAGCCCAGTGGTTTCAGGAGGTCGCATATTTTCTGCTTTATGTACTATTATTTATTTTGCAGTCGGATAACTTAGAGCGGTATCTGTATTCAGTAAACGATTACATAATGAATTGTTTTCATCACCTTAGAATGACAGTTCTTGCCACGAGGGTTTAAAGTATATCTTGATGGACTATGTGGGATATCTATCATAGTCGTACAAGCTTTTCTAAATTCATTTTTCATCACATCTTTAGAGCATAACACGGTTGCCTTTGAAAACTAATTCTTGACTGGATTTCTTTAATATGTTATTATGATCGCGAACCTCGCTAGTGTCAAATATTTACCGTTGTGTACAGATAGATGATAATAAGACGTAAAGGTAGTCCTGCTGCCCTGTAGCCCTCAGGTTAATCTGTGAACTTTGAGGATATTCACTACTAATGAAGAACATCAACACTATTTTTATGAGGTTGAATGTAACACGAAGAAGTTATCCAACCTAATAAGACTTAGATTTTCTCTTTCACTCGAAATTAACATCAATTTGTAAAGTATCCTAGTAGGTTTAAACTAGAACAACAGAAATTCTTCTCGAGTTTTAATGAACTCGATGAAGTAATGATTGAATTTTCTACTTCACAACATAATTCTAAGAATGCTTATCGCCATCTCTTCAAGTAGCCTAAATCAATCTGTCAGTGTGTTGTTTTAAATCATAATTCATATTAACAGGAAGAGAAATTTTATTAAATAGGTATATATTAGACATGTGAACATATAAAATTTACAAGGAAAGATGGTTGTAAGTTAATATAACAAGCAGTTGAAATAAAGCAATGAGTGCATAATCAATTACAAAAACACAGGATTGTTACTGTCCATCACACAACACGCAATTTTCATCTTCTCTTATTCTGGAAAACAAAAATATTAGGAAAATTATAAAATCTGGGTGGATGGATATAGATATAGTATTCAACTGAAACTGTGGTGACAGATATTGTCATTATACCACATTTTTATCAACATTTAACTTTGTGTGGTCACCTGTATTGTCTTAGTAGAAATATTCGAATGAAGATAATCATTAAGGCAAGCAACCACACTTTTGGAATACGCTCTCAGATTATTTGTGTTTGTGTAAATTCATCCCATCTGACTTTATATAACTGTGCATGTGATTCGGGATTAAAACATCCTTGTATCCTGTCCAACTGTGATTTTGAATTTACGTTTCACTCTTTTATTTTTAAAGCAGTCCTGGAAGATTCCAAAATGTTTACATCCAACTTCCAATGTGGTGAACTTTATTCCATTGAGCAATTAAAGATACATACATATAAATATGTAAATGCCCAAATCTAAGTTCACTTCAAGCATTGTGAAAAATTTCGGCATTGGGTACATGATATTAATTATTTAAAATGTTCCTGTATTTCCCAATGAATGAAAAGCAAAACGATATTGTTGCTTTTACTGACGTTTCGCTATTCAATGCTGCTGATAGCTTTATCAGAGTAGTAATATTAAACCAGAATTTACAAAATCTCAGCTTATATACAACAACCAAATCATCGTTCTTCAGCAAGAGGTAATTTATAGCTGTAAAGCTGTAAGCGAAATGGTGAATATAACAAAATGATGTGTAGATTGTTGGATTTGATGGGTGTATAAAATTTCTAAACAAATCCGAAGCACAGTTTTAAAGTCTGCATTGCTGTCCTGTAAGTCGATTGATGTGCCGATTGAATTATGTCAGGATATAGGTATATTCTAAATGTACTTATATTTCAGTTAATTATTGTAGTAATATTGTGGCGTGTGCCACTGATAAGATTTATTACTGTGTATACAGAGACGTTCATCGGCATAGAAATGTTAAATAGCGGAGACTTAGGTTTGAAGTCAAAGTGAGCAAATTATTCAAGGTTTCGGGAAAACATGTGAGACACGAAAAGAAGTCAAAGGCCAGAAGTAGCAGAACACGGAAGATCTGTGCAGCAAATGACGATTTTCAGATAAGGTGTACATAATTTCGCTATATAACGATACCAAAATTACAAATAAACATTCCGTCACCAAGCCTCTTGTCTTCTACCGTCACAACAGTAGTAGTTACACAGCCGTTATGCCGATTTTATGATGTCAGAATCAAAAATATAAAATGACTTCCACTAATGTCTTCTAAATGTTTACCTTCTAAATGTCATACTCCAGCCAACTTTGACACACACCACACAGACACACAATCTGTCAAGATCACTGCTTGGTAAATCTACTCACAGTTTCTCACAGTCAACGAAAAGACTCCTCTCTTACTGAAGCGTGAAGATGAGTGCTTCCCACAAAAAGAGAACTAGACATAGTATAATATAATAGTATAATTTCCCATGTAAATGTTTCTTACTCCACAAACTTCATTTGGTGGTGGACAGATAGCCTCCCCAGTAATCTGCTTCGTTTGAATTCTTGCCACACCTGATTGACAGGGGAACGGTTGTCCACCGACAACTACTTTGAGACCACCAGAACAAGAAATCTGTAAATGTGTTAAACAAAAATTGACAGAAATTTATTCACTTTTCTGATTTATCACATATAAATACTCCGTCAGGAGGTAAGTGTAAGTGTAAGTGCTCAACAGAGCAAAGTAGATCACTAATAATAAATTTTAATGACAATAATAACTTTATTCTGAGCAATATGTTCACATACAGTACAGAGTTTTCAACTTGGTATTATCTACTCCCTAAATAGAATCTTCAAGTAAATCACTCATCTACATTATACGGTTAGAAGGAATTACGTTTTTCTCTCCAACATGCTCCGACTCCTGACATATTTGTCACTTCAAGACAAACCAAGTGGTATGTTGAAAGTCATTCATGTGTGTAGAGATTCTTCTTCAAGTATTGAGTAGATAGACTGTCAATACAAAGTATAACTGAGGACGGTTGACGCATTCTGCTCTGTAGATAATTAGATAGCCCAGCAATTTAAGCAGGCTGCCATTTTATCCACTACATACAATCATCTTTTAGCACTTCACAGATAATAACGACGGACTGGGAGGAATCTTGTGTCTTTGAGCTTATAAGAGAATATCATTGGTTCCTGTCTGACTACAAAATATCACCATAATAGGGCTGCATTCTTCAAAACATACCTGATGACAAGTGGCTTTGATTCGAGCATCTCTTGAAACCAGCCCATTCATTCTGGCTTCCCAAGCTCCTTTATGCCTAATACATACTGAATTATTGCCGAAATCTTGACCGAACATATTTCCTCTTTGAGCTACAAAGAAAATACAATGTAAGTGAATTTATTATACATGAACTCTGATTAGTGATATTAATTTCGAACTCATAAGTTATTAAAATTCTAAAAGTAATTCACTTTCACCATATGAAAGCTTCCTCTACAGTATTAAGTGGTTAGACGCATGACAACAAATTTAAGTTGAAAGTATTTACCCTACGATTTTGAAAGAAATCCACAAGAAGCAATAATCTAATCTAAAGAAAACATTTATTTTTAATAAGGCATAGAATCCTGACTAAGAAGTGGACGCCTTGCAGTCACATGGAATGAAATTCTAGTCACCAGTTGTGATATTTCCTAAGACAACTGTAACAAAGATATGGTGATCAACGGATTCCCTATAAATATTTATGTATATATTCTTCGTCTAATGGAAATGGATTCGGTAACCATTAGCTGAAGAGTTAGTTGACAGGTAACATACTTAAATATCACATTTGAAAAGAGTGTCAGCTGGTATCTCTGACAAACATTCACGTTCTTCTAATGTCGAATATATTTCAAGCATGTCAACGGAGGATCAGACATGTTGGCCAGAGGAGACAGGCAATAGGAATCTCTGGGAACCAACAAACCAAGAAACTATTGCTCAACAAATGTGTCGAGGGAGGTGGAGATGGATCGCACACACACAGTGAGAAGACCGTGGAATGGCATCACGTGACAGGCACCTGATTAGAAGTGAATGGTTGTCCGTTGAGCATTCGACTATGGTACGTGGGAGATAAATCATGAGAAGAGGAGATGAGAGCCTATGGACCATCATACACCCATATAAAGACAGCTGCAGAGAACGGGATGAAATAGAGGTGTTCAGTTGAAGCCTTATGTTCCATTCGAAATAATAATGATAATAATAATAATGCAATTAACTTTGAGTAATACAGATTTGAAAAGGCTTACCATGCTGTCTGTTTAAATCATGGTTACAGTATGTCATCAGAGGCTCTTCAAAGAATGTTTTCATCGGCTATTCGTCCATAAGGTGAGTCAATAAATGAACGAAGAGATATCGAAATATGAATATTTGCAATGCATAACTCTTCTCATAATATTTCTCAAAATGCTACTACCTATCTGCTTCAAACCAAAGAAAGGAAGTGCGAAATGCGTTTGTTCAATCAGTCTATCAAACGATTATTCTACTATTTTCGTAAGAAATTATTACTTAGTGAATGAGGAAGTTTCGAACATTGTTCGTTCATTGTTCGTAATCACATCAACTGTAAGTACACAACTTTGAAACTTGATTTTCATAGTTTTATTTCTTATATTCCAATCGTCGATAGGGTAGATGAATTTCTCAGACGTTGGGGAGAAATGCTGAATCATGTGTATTGCACATATTACCAGTTAATTTTATAGGTAAAGCTTCATTTATCAATCTGTCGCTCAACCCTGTTATACTAGATTATAATACTGTCACCTTCTCCTGTCATATTGCATGCTTGTATGAAACTGATTGCAATGTCACGGTTGAGCTATTTGCTAGATTTATTATCTTGTTAGGGTGAACTAAACTATGTTTTGCTGGATTTTCGCACTCCACTGAACTAACTGACCCCGTCCTGCTATCCAGTCCTATGTATCTGACCTGACAGTCATCTTAGGGGATTGGATATACTAGATTATTTTGCCTAGTGAGCTCCACAGGATCCTTTAACCGACATAACTAAATTCCAAATGAGTTTGTGGATTATAATGCCACTTTTATTTCTGAAAACAAAACACTTATTTCCGCAGAGGATCTCTTTCCGGCGCATCCATTCACTTACCTTAATTATATATACTTAAGTTAGGGTTATTGTTGTCAAGACTTTTCAAAAATGTGATGAATAATTAAACTGTGACTAGGAGGGAATGAAGATCAGCAAGAGGGTACTGGTCATGTGTTATCAAAAAACAGCGTCGCTGCAAAGAATGTCCTTTTCAAGGATGCCGAAATTCTTCTCTTGACGATGTTGCAAGCTAAGTCCCCCTGAAATCCATATTCGTGTGAAGTATCGTTTTTGAAACAAGTGATGTTTTGTTCCTCTGGACCTTTGGTTTGTTATTATTGTTGATGAATCCTGGAGGGTATCCATTTTAAATGAAGGTCTTTTTCAGAAGATCCAGTTCTGCTTCCAGGACGTCAGGACTGCAGGTAAGTCGCATCCAAGTGGCCAGGGATTTAATTAGATTTCTTTTCCTTTCAATAGGTACCCAACCGTAGCAACTTGTTAGTTTATCATTCAAAGTGGGTTTTATTTGGATTGTCCTTCTTAAGGTTCTATCATGTCATCTTGTTAGTTGCACATCAAGAAAGCGAATTTCTACTTTATTAGAAATTCTGTGTATGGTTTCAGAGGTTCTCTCTTTGTATGCAAGCAAACCAATTAGTAGGGGAATTACATGACCTATGTTTTACTCATATATCAATTTGGAAGATGTCTAGTGGTTCGACGAGAATTATTATTTGTGAATAAAACCAATATAAGCTACTTTCAGACTACATTTTCATTTAGAAAACAAACTAATTCAGTAAGGATTAAGGTTAATAAACTCCAACATGTGCATCTAGATATTATTAATAACTATTATTCCTATTTATAACACATAATTTGAAGAAGACTTGGTTTAAGATGTGAAGGGAACACTCACCTGAACCATTGGACATCTGTCCACCAGTGTACTACTCCCGCCTTGATTAGGAATACCTCTGAAATATTGCTCAGGTGGAGGTAAACTTGTAGTAAACTGAGCAACAGAACATAGTCCAAAGGCGGTTTTGTGATAACACATCAAATCACTCTTCTCTTCACAATACGGTTCAATACTCTTTCCCCTGAAATATCACAAAATGTCAATATCAATTTGAATTCATCTTCCAATGAGTAAATAAATGTAAGATTATGCAATCAAAGCGAGTGTACTTCCATTCGAGCAAATAGTATAATCTGTAAACATTCACTATGACACTCACTGATCATGCATTGGATGACTTACTGTTGCTTCATTCTGGTGATATACGCATAACAGCTTTCCATTACAAAGCTACAGCCGAGTCCTTTGCCATAGTCCCATTTTTCAGCGAGTGAGAAATCGACGTCCCACCAACTATTATTGGAAGAAAGAAATACAGCCATCAGCATCCAATAAGAGAATTCGTAATTGTGAAAAGGGAAACATAATTCGAGTATTACCTTATGTATCGTTGTTGTGACAATTTCTAACTGTAAACGAATGTGTTTTATGTAACTGTGTTTATTACTCTCATTTATTACTCTTATTTAAGTATGTCTCGCTCACTTACAATTAACCCAGTGTAATAAAGTCAGGTAAAGTAGGATAGGGTTGAAGAGTGTTCGTTCAATGTTATATTACCAAATGAGACTCTTGTGACATGTTGTGACCAGTGAGGTTCGGCAGATTGGGTCTGAGGACAAATATGCGTCGATGATATTGTCAAGTGGTAGCATCACTGGATTCTGAACCAAGTTGGTGGGTGATCGACGAGCTTAGTTTCTTAGTCTGAAGGTCCTGGATTCGATCCCCAATTGGAGTCATTGGCACGTACTGACGAAGAGTCACAAACTAGGAGGAAACAGCTGTCGAGTACTACCTCCTGGTTTTCAGTGGTTCTCTAGCTGGTATAAATCCGTGATCATATTATTTGATCTATTAGTAAATAACTATTCAACACGTCTATTATGGTTGAATGTTTAGACTATATCTCTACAACTGTGTTATTGAGGTACTCTTTTTGCAATACTGAGTTTTCTTAGTGACTAAGCAACATCTCTCCCATATTTATTGAATCATGGATTAACTACTCATTTAGACATGAAGAAGATGGTTGAAATTTATTGAGATTTCTATCTTGAATCTCGCGCTGATCAGTTTTATTGAATCGAAATTTTCCTCTACTGACGCTTCGATTAGGGTTCCAGTTTATCATGATCTAATCTAACCGATGCGAGTCGAAAGTGTAATTCACAAAACTTATTAAAACTGCTACTCGGGACTCATCAGCTGGATTTGCCTTCACACTTATTCATCCATGGCGCTCCTTTTGAAACTTGAACCCGAATTTATCTTTCCAAACAAAAAATACCATCATACTAGCATTAAGTTGTTGTCAAAGCGTCAGCACTGAAAGCCAACATGTCAACAGAAATTCGACATTTCAGTTCAAAAGGTCAATCAGCATGAAATTCAAAATAATAATTACAAGAA